ACAAAAGGGAAAAATAAAACACATGGATGTCTTAATTGCTGAAAGTCTTTTTGCAGCCACTGGGGGATTCAAGGGATACAAGTCATTTGTGTTCTAAAACCCTGGTTTTTTGGTCCTTTCCACATTAAAACCAGCGGGGAGAAAAGTAATTTCTTTTTCGGGGAAGTGACAATGGCTTTAAAATAAGCCCAAACCCCCAAAACATAAAAGGAGTCATTTTCAAACTACTTGTTTGGAGATTTTACAAGGGAGAAAAAAATATATCACACACCGAAGGTTTGCAAGGAGGAAGCCATATCATTGTCAAATGTGAAAAACTTTTAAAAGGAAGAAACCTTATAAACCCCAAGTTTTTTCACAGGGAGAGAAAAGTCATACAGTGTTTAAATGTGAAAAAGCTTTTACCGGAAGTCCCATCTTGAACCCCCAAAGTTCAACTGGAAAAAGTCAATCAGTGTTTGAATGTGAAAAAGTTTTAAAACCAAGTCAATCTTATCAACAAGCTAGAGAAGAAGGGAGAAGATAAAATCAATACACAACTAGAAGGGATTTGAATATTTTATATTTTGATAATTTTTTTTTAAGATAAGCATCAATAACTGAACAGCTTCCCTCATGATTCTCATCTTTATCTTTTTTTATGGAGCTTTGACTGAACATGCAATGTATTTTCATGATACACCAACTGAGTTGTGTTTCCAAGCATTTTCTTCATTTCTGGATCCTGAGGTAATACATGACCAACACTGCCTCAGTACCAGAGACTAGGATGGGGTCTATTGTCATCTTACCAAGTCTCTGAAGCCTCAGTGGGAGAGTCCATTCCAGGTTCTTCTGACTATTGATACATGATCAGCCAGGCTTGAGGTCTCCAGCTAAGCCCACCTTGTCCACTCCTCCCATTACCTGTTCCATCTCCTCTCCCATTATCAATGCCTTCTTTCCACATTTCATCTCTCATTAATATTATTATTATTATTATACAGGATTTATGGTGCCAACAGCTCAGCGCTTTACAATATAATGGGAGACCATACAGTTTAATACAAGAAAGATAGGAGGGCCCTGCCCCTCAGAGCTTACAATCTAGGAGGGAGGGGCTAGTGGTACAAAAAGTAACTGTGGGGGATGGACTGGTAGGAAGAGTAGAAGATTCCAGTATTAGCTGAGGGTGGGATAGGCTTCCCTGAAGAGAGAGTTTTTCAGAGATCACCTAAAAGTGAGCAGAGTAGGCAATAGTCTGATAAATTGGAGTAGAGAGTTCCAGAGGATGGGGGAAGCTCTGGAGATGAGTATGGGAGGAGGAGACAAAGGAGCTAGAGAGCAGGAGGTCATACAAGGAGCGGAGAGTACGGTTTGGGTGATATTTGTAGACAAGATTGGTGATGTAATTTGGGTCAGAATTATAAATGGCTTTATATGTTAATGTTTTGAATTTTATCTGTTGGGCAATGGGAAGCCAGTGGAGGGATTTGCAGAGAGGGGTGGAGGACACTGAGTGGAGGCCAGTGGAGGGATTGGCAGAGAGGGGTGGAGACCAGTGGAGGGATTGGCAGTAGGGCTTGTCGCAAACGTGCACACCAGAGTCTGACGCAGTCCGCCATTTTGTTAATCTCCATGCCCTTCTGCTCAGAAACTTGATCTGCTTACATCCAAGGCCTAATGGCAAGTACCTTAACCCTTTCACCTCTCTCTGTTATCTCTTTGCTGTGCTGTTATTCTCTGTATATATTATATATATATATATATATATATATATATATCTTACATATTTTTCTGTAAATATTTTTATTGCACCCGTTTGACCTTTTTAGTAATAAATCTTTCTTTCTGAAAGTGTTGAACTGTTTCTATAGCTCTGTATTGCAATTTACAAATTACGGCCTCTAAAGGGACGCTACTGTATTTGTTTAACCCTCTGCATAATCAGCCTGCGATGACCGTAGTATGCAGACGATTATCTCAATCATTATAGTGTTATAGCGGATATCGCAGAGTTTCCTCTTTCTCTGTACAAAAAGGAGGTGGTGGCAGTGTGAAGGGTTAATTGCATAATTAACCTGACCCAGTAATAATCATTCAGGCTGCCGGTAAATCGATCTGTGGTCCATTAACTGGAAAATCGTTGTGCAGGGTGCAGCTGGGTGTGGCATTAATCAATCAATAAGCTCCTATGTTGTAACCCTACACACAAAATCACAACTTTCTCCCTAGAAAGTATACAATCTAATAAATCCCTTTTTTGTGATACACATAAATCCCCAAAAGTTATATTTGCACTCAATATAATAAATAATATTAAATATATATAAAAAAAATAATATATAAAATTATATATAAAAAATTGTGTATGAATAAACCCAAAGTGTCCAAAAATTCCCAAAAAATTCAAAAAAATAATTCAAAAAAAAAAATTTTCTTTCAATCCAGTGATGCAGAAATTGTTACTAGGACTCCATGATTACCTCAAGGAAAAATAGAAAAAAGAAAATACATAGTGCATTACCCTTTTACAAAATGTATATATATACCTCACTCTGTGCACAACACAAAAACACACTCAAACTCATTTTGTGCAAAATCAATCCAATATATATCACAATCTAAATAGGTGAAAAAAAATTAAATAAATAAATAAATAAAGTAAGTAAACCCAAAACGTGATCACTCCAATCACAAGTGAAATAGTGATACTAGGTACTAGTACCCTCTAAACTCCAGCCAAAAAGTGATGCTAGGTACTTTTACCCTCTTGCAGTATTTTAAAGCATGAACTGACATAGGGGATCCGTGTTTCTCAATCCTTCATTTCCTTAGATTTTCTCCCAACTCCTCATAAAAGCATAAAAAGGCTCTTTAGGCAGAATCCATAAAATAGGATACATTTTAATAGCAACTCACATATAAAAACAGGGATATCCAGCTTCCTATATATATATATATATATATTCACATCCACTTTCCACATTGACATAGACAAACAGATTTATTCTTCAGAGCAGAAACAGGTTGGAATCTGCAACAAAGTTTGGTAAAATCCCAGCAATGTACATTGATCACTCAGATTATTTTCTCAACAAAAATGCAGTTACTCTTTAAAATGAGAGTTAAATAGGAAGTAACTTTATTTAGCCTTTTTATACAGAATTCTGACTTGTATTTATCTTTTTCTATACAGGTGGATTGAGAAACCAAGTGTTTGGTCAAGTTGCTCTTTATAAGTACAACTGATCCACGTGGGAAATGAGCCATATGGGAGTCTTAGGTGACTGAAAGTCTTTATTGCAGTTCACTGGAGGATTCACACGGGACACAAGACATATCAGTGCTCTTATTGTTTGGGATCCTCTTCAACATTGATCCATCCTCAGAGGACAACAGGAGAGAAGTCATTTCAGTATTCTGGAAGTAAAAAGTCCAACCCCTGTACACATAAAACGAGTAATTTTAAAAGTTGCTTCTTCTTTGGAAAGTGACAGGTTTTACAATGAAGGCAAAATGCATCACACAGCAGGAGACGGACACTGGTGAGAAACCATTTCAGTGTTCTGAATGTGACAAACCTTTTACATCAAAGAGTAATCTTATATAAAACACAAGAAGATTCACACCGGAGAGAAGCCATATCAGTGTTCTGAATGTGACAAAGCTTTTATAGTGAAGGCAGATCTTATCAGACACCAGAGGGGCCACACTGGAGAGAAGCCATATCAGTGTTCTGAATGTGACAAAACTTTTAAACATAAGGAAGGTCTTAAAATACACTTAAAAGATGATTCACACTGAAGAGAAACCATTTCATTGCTCCAAATGTGACAAAGCTTTTCTACAGAAGGCACAGCTAAATGAACACCAGAGGGTTCATGCTGGAGAGAAGCCACATCAGTGTTCTCAATGTGATAAGATTAGCTTTCTGTGCAAAAGATTTATCACACACCAACAGATTCATACTGGAGAGAAGCCGTATCAGTGTTCTGAATGTGATAAAGCTTTTGCACATAAGGAAAGTCTTCTCTCACACCATCTTGCCAAGTCTTGGAGTCCTAGGGGGGAAAGTCCTTTCCGTATTCTTTTGAATATTGATACATCATCAGTGATGCTTGAGGGTTCCAGCACATCCTACCTTGTCCACATCTCCCATTATACAACCCACCTCCCCTTTCATGGTTCACGCCTTATTTTAACATTCCACATCCTTCCTTGGATGACATCTTTATAGTCAGGTCTGCGGCTGGGGCACCAGACAAGAAGTCTTTGTTCAGTGAGAAAGCAACTTCCTAAGCTGGTATAAGCCTTCCAGCAGTGAGTTGCTGCAGTTTTTTGGGATGAGTTTGACAGTACCACTTAAACCCAGCTGGTCCCATGTGTGTTCCATCCAGTTTTGTGGCAAGTCTAAGGGATCCTATCAGGTGAAGATTGGATGTCCTTGTTATCTTATTTCTCTGTCCAGCTATTGCTCCTCTCCATAGACATATCACACAGGACAACTACAAGAGATCTGATCTTACAAAGTGCTGAGTGTGCGGTCATATTCCTACAGTTCGGTTCTCTTTATTGACTCTGAGTGGACTGATCTATTTTTTTTTTTTTGGAAGTTTATGACAAACAATATTAGATCCTAGAAATGTTACAGCGTTGGCCGTAAAGTGTAACTACAGCAAAATCAATGATGACATAAATGCTGAAATCTGTCATTACCACTTTAGTCCTCGGGACTTTTTTCTCCCTAAACTCCTCAAGCCCCAGAGAGGTTTTTTTTTTTTCCCCATTTTTGGCAATGTCCCAGTTCTACGTATTTTATATTTAGCATTTGTAGTCTACCCAAATGTATTATACTTCGGTGTTTTGGGGGACAAATAGGGCTTTTATTCAGTAGGAGATTTGAATGCTTACTTTATATTTTTATTTCATTGGCTTTTTTATTAGTAATAATTGTAATTTGAAAAAAAAAATAAAACCTTTCCCTGTATTTTTTCCCATTGCAGTGTTAAGGTCATTTGTGCTTCCCCAAATTTTTAATTTCAAAATATAATCAACAAAGTCTGCTGATTAAAAATGATTTCACATTAGTGGATTGTTTATGTAATTATCTACATTGTACTTTAGGAGAGCTTTATTCCCCTTGTGTTCTATACTTTGTGTATAGAAATCCCTCAGCGCAATAAACCTCCTTGTGCTGCCTTGTATTACACAAGGCATTCTTTAACATTCAGCAGTGTCTGTCCCCTTTAAGGCTAGGGACGTCCTGTTTGCTAACTTGGGAGGAAGTGACCTCATCTCTTCAGACTGAAGAAATTCTACTATGCAAGTAGATGTGGGATGCTGTTCTCTCTTCATATATGGGCTTGATTAGACCCCCAAAGTCTGTAAGTACCCCTCCTATATACTGAGGAATGTTATGTACATAACTAGGTAGTTAGATATGTACTCATGTCTGTTTATTCTGTTTGTATTCCAGTTTTTACCGCACATTCTCATTATGTCACATGTTATCAGTAAAAGATCATCGGTTATCAATCATCGACTCTTTACTGTGTGGACATCAAAGGTTATACTGCCTGTAATCCTCTGTAACCCTTTCATAACTGCAGAGAAGGCAGGACACTCCTACAAAACAAATTGTGCAGCTAGCATATAATGTGTTCCCACATGGAAACCGTAAATCAAAATACAAAATGCAGCGCAGCAATATAAACTCCAATGGTGCTAATAATACAAATGTGCATATATGAAGAGTGAGAACAGAAATGGTGTTTGTGACAATAAATATGTGCTACACCCAATATCTTCGCAATGCAGACACATAAATAATCACAGACTTGCACATAACAGTGCTGAAATAAATAGAAATACCAAATAAAATGTAGTCAATAGTGAACTGTCCCTTTAAATCTCAGATATCTTTACATTGTGCTTGTGCAGTATGTCTCCTATATATCGTGATTAGAGATGAGCGAAGAAATGAAAAATTCGATTCGACTGATTCGGCGAATTCGTGGACAATATTCGATTTGAGTCGAATAAATTCGCTGTGAATTTAACTTAAAAAAGGGTGTTTCTAGGCTTCAGAGAGACTTAATATTAGTGCAGAACACTGTACCTTTAATTTAAATGCCCTTGGAGTCTGCTGGGGAAGAGAAATAATACTGTCAGTCAGTATGACATGCAGATGAGTGCCGTCGATCTTAGAATCACCGCACACTTCACTCATTTGGGCAGTCACGGGGCCAAAACCAGTGTTTGGAGCCACAGTGTGGCGGTGGAGCCAGCAGCAATGGGAGGCCATACAGCAACCTATGACAAAATGGAAACCAGCAGGAGTGTGAGGAGACCTGAAAGTGGCACATGGCAGAGTGGGAGCAATGGGAGGCGGTACAGGGACCCAGGTCACACTGTGGGCCCAGCAGCAGCGTGACCAGGCGGTACGGGGGCCCATCGCCGATTTGGGGCCTGGTGGCACTTATGGAAGGCCGCTAATCTGCCAGCAACCTATGACAAAATGGAAACACCGCAGGAGTGTGAGGAGACCTCAAAGTGGCACATGGCAGAGTGGGAGCAATGGGAGGCGGTACAGGGACCCAGGTCACACTGTGGGACCAGCATCAGCGTGAACAGGCGGTACGGGGGCCCATGGCCGATTTGACCTCGTTCATCCCATAGTCCTGCCGACTCACGAATAGCGTGGCCTCCTCAAAGGGCCTGAGCAAGCGCAGGTGTCACGCATGAGCTGACAATGGCTGACATCTAAGTTACACAGGGAGTACCTTTATCCGCTTTTAACATCAGGAAATCTGTGATGGCCTTTAGCTGTTCGTAAAGGCGGTCTAACATATGTAGGGTTGAATTACACCTTGTTGCAACGTCACAGCATGAGGAGTCGGTACGGGGGCCCATGGCAGATTACGTGCCTGGCAGCAGCAATGGGAGGCCCGTAATCTGCCAGCACCCTATGTCAAAAAATTGAACACACCAGCAGTGTGAGGAGACCTCAAAGTGGCACATGGCAGAGTGGAAGCAATGGGAGGCCGTACAGGGACCCAGGTCACACTGTGGGCCCAGCAGCAGCGTGACCAGGAGGTACGGGGGCCCATGGCCGATATGGGGCCTGGCGGATCCTATGGAAGGCCTGTAATCTGCCAGCAACCTATGACAAAATGGAAAACCGCAGGAGTGTGAGGAGACCTCAAAGTGGCACATGGCAGAGTGGGAGCAATGGGAGGCCGTACAGGGACCCAGGTCACACTGTGGGACCAGCAGCAGCGTGACCAGGCGGTACGGGGGCCCATGGCCGATATGGGGCCTGGCGGCACCTATGGAAGGCCGCTAATCTGCCAGCAACCTATGACAAAATGGAAAACCGCAGGAGTGTGAGGAGACCTCAAAGTGGCACATGGCAGAGTGGAAGCAATGGGAGGCCGTACAGGGACCCAGGTCACACTGTGGGCTCAGCAGCAGCGTGACCAGGAGGTACGGGGGGCCCATGGCCGATATGGGGCCTGGCGGCACCTATGGAAGGCCGCTAATCTGCCAGCAACCTATGACAAAATGGAAAACCGCAGGAGTGTAAGGAGACCTCAAAGTGGCACATGGCAGAGTGGAAGCAATGGGAGGCCGTACAGGGACCCAGGTCACACTGTGGGCTCAGCAGCAGCGTGACCAGGAGGTACGGGGGCCCATGGCCGATATGGGGCCTGGCGGCACCTATGGAAGGCCGCTAATCTGCCAGCAACCTATGACAAAATGGAAAACCGCAGGAGTGTCCAGCA